GCCAACCCTTACAAGGAAATCCTTTGTACAAATATGTTCCTTCTTGGTTGTCATTCTCTGGTTGCATCCTAACATTAACACACCCAGTTGAATGTTTTGGCCAGACACAGTTTCTGTCTTACAAGACTTGAAATCTCATAAGAAAACTGGTCCATGAAGATAGAAAGTATAGACAGCAGTTCAAGACCATCTTTAGTTTGAAGTCAAAATATGTTATACAGAAATTAAATATTGTAGCATATCAGGATAGTGAGAGATCAATAGGGCTGGGAATTAGTGAAGAAGCTTTTATTAATAAATTGGAATTTGAAACTGTTCAAGGCTTGATAATATTTAAAAGGTCAGAGGAAAAAAAGAATGTCATTCTGTTTGATGAACAGCATTAGCGTAGGTGTTGAGATAACACTTAGCATGTTGAGTTTAGAGGATAGTATACTGATTTAACTTTTAATCAGTGCCCTATTAACCCCTTCCCTTCATGGTCCCTCTAATGAGAAAGTAGAGAATTCAATATCTCTAAATTATTGGAATTTAACACCACAAAAATGCTAAATATTAAAGCCTAACCATCCTGAGCTAAACAGCAAAATTAAGTTTTGCTGTATATTTTCAAAAGTCAAAAATGCCAGATAAAAAAAAATGCTGGATAAAGTGAGGTCTTTTGTAGAAAAATAAATAAAGCATCAGTAGCAAAATAATGTACAGTGAACTTTGCTTCCCCTACCCAGCAAAATAGTCATTAGCTGTGGGCAGTATGATGAATAATGAGCCAGCACACTTTGCTGAAGGGGTCAGGAGGTGCAAAGATGAGAGATATGTGAAGTGTGTGTGTGTGTGTGTATGTGTGCATTTGTGCATGTGTGTGTATGCATGTATGTATTTTGGAGGAGAATAAGTGGAGGTATGTGTGAAGAAGCCACTACTAATATTTGGGGACAAGGTAATTCCAGAATATGAGTCTTTTCTGATAAACACCCTTGAGATTTTGAGTTTGCAGTATTAGATAAAAAAAGATTAGCTTTTGCCCAGAGCACCAAGGAGCAGACCCCAGCCCCACCTCAGCACAGAGAGGTGAGCCTATTGGGCTGTCATACCACCACCCCAGAACACTAAGGATAACAGAGCCCCCCTCCCCCAGCACCAAGGTGGTGAGCCTCTCAGGCTGCTCTACTGCCACCCCAGAGCACGGAGGAATAGAGCCCACATGGGCACAGAGGAGGTGAGCCACGTGGGCAGCAGCACCCCCACTATGGCTGTGCTGAACAATTACCTGGATCCACACTGCAGAGTTGCATGGGTCATAAAGGATATTGTTCTGAGCTCCAGAAAATAGAGCAGAAGTGAACAACAGAAAGAGGGCCTCTCTGAGGCTTCTTGATGAAAATTAAAGCCCACCAGAAAAGTGAAGAAAATTGCTGCAATAAAAGCACAACAGACCAAATTAGTTGGGGGAGCAGTGATGTGGATCAGAGCAGCACAGCTGCAAGTGGATCCCAGACAGGTCTCCATCCTGACCCCAGAAGCTGGGGCACACTGACCCATGCCAAGGGCCTACCTGGAACTGAAGAGCTGTACAGGCACACAAGCAACAGCCAGAGGTTTGCTCCGATACCATCAGTAAGTTCACGAGACCCTAGCCAGAAGCTTGCTCACATAACAGGAAATGGGGTACAAAGCTCCCAGCCCTCCCAGGCAACAGCTACATAGGGGCCCTAGCCAGAAGCACACATAGATACCATCCCAAGTGTGTACAGACCCCAGCCAGAAGTCCACTCAGACAACAGGACAGCTCAGGGTTACAGAAGACCACCTTTCTGAACCCAGGATAGTGTACTGGTGCACAACAGAATAAAGGCTGCTCTGTGGCCTGCTGAGAATTGATGACCACTGAGTGAGAAAAAGTTGACTCAACAAAGGCACAGCAGGATGCATCTGTTGAAATGAGAAGACATGGAAACAAGTCTCAAAACCAGATTTCCACATCACCTAAAGCAACCCCAAAGGGGAATGAGATGAAACACTCTGATACTCAACCACCTGGATATCCTGAACTAGCACAGAAAGAGGAACTGGAAAAATTGAAATCAGAAATAATTTCTCAGATAACAGAAGAGATTATGCCCATAGTGCAAGACATGATTAATAAATCTAGAGCAGACACAGATAAAAAAAATAGAGGAGCTGAGGAACATGATGGAATCCCAATATAGGAAACAAAAGGAATCCATAAAGCAGATGCAAACAGATTCCCAGGAGATTAAAAACTCCACTGAAAGATTACACAGCAGAATGAGCCAATGTGAGGACAGAATTTTAGATATAGAAGATAAGATTGCAACTAGTGACTGGGGAAGGAAAAATTTCTTTAAAATAGTAAGGGACCATGAGAATTCAATTCAGCAGCTGCTAGAAGAGGCAAAGAAGAATAACATAAGACTGATTGGAGTCAATAAAGAAACAAGAGAGTGCAGATGATATAAAAAAAACTTTTCACAGAAGTAATGGCAGAAAACTTCCCAAACAGGGGAAAAGAACTTGACATATGGATAAGAGAGGCATATAGGAGTCCAACTAGCCTTGATAAAAAAAACAAAAACAAAAAACTACACATAGGCATACAATTGTTACTATTCCAGGAACCCAACAGAAGAACAAAATTCTACAAGCAGTTAGAGAAAAGAAACAAATTACATACAAAGGAAAGGCCATCAGAATCACAGCAGACTTCTCAATGCAAACCCTCAAGGCAAGAGCTTGGAGTGATGTATTTTAAACTCAAAAGGAAAACAGCCTCCAACCCAGATTTATGTACCCTGCAAAATTATCTTTCAAAATTGATGGAGAAATATATTTTCATGACAAAGAGCACCTTAGGAATTTCATGAATACCAAACCACCACTAAAAAAAATTTTAGACAAAATCCCAGGAAAAGACAAGGATCACAACCCCAGAAAACACAGCAGAATGAATCCATTGGGCATGACAAGAAATTAAATGCAAAGAGGAAGAATCCAACAAAAAGTAGAAGTCATGACAATAATAAGTCAGTGCATATCAGTTATAATCATCAATGTAAATGGTCTAAATTTACAAATCAAAAGAAATAGACTGGCAGAATGGGTCAACAAGCAAGATCCTACAGTATGTTGCATAGAAGAAAAACACTATTTAAAAAGAAACTCATAAATTGAAAGTTAAAGGGTGGAAAACAATACTCCATGGGACAGGAATATGGAAAAAAGCAGGAGTAGCTATCCTCTTTGCAGATCAAGTGGATTTCAAAACAAAATCTGAAACCCTTCCTGTCCCAAGAATTTCAGATAAGGGATAGTCAACTTGTATGTACAAATCTATTGTGAACATGTGTTTTCATTTCTCTTAAGTAAAAACTTAAGAACAGTGCTGTTGGTTCTTAACCCTAGTAGAAGAAATTTCTATATTGTTTTCCAAAATGGTTTTGTCATTTTACATTCACATGAGCAGTATTAGAAAGTTCTTACTGGTTCGCACCTAAGCTGACATTTGTTCTTTTAAAACTTTTAACTTAACCTTCCTAATGAGTGTAAAATATGATCTTTTTTTTTTTTTTTTGGTACTGAGTATCAAACTTGGGTCCTTGTGCTTTTGAGGCAGATGGTGGAACCACTGAGCTAAATCCCCGGCCCTAATATGATCTTGTTATTGTAGTGATTAATATTTTTCAGATTCTTTTGTTGCACATCTTTTCTTGTGCTATACTGGCTATTCATTATCTTCTTCTGTCTACTTTTTAATTAGGTTGTCTATTAATAAGTTGTAAGTGTTCCTTATATATTGTAGTAATAGTTTATATGTATTATAAATATGTTCTGTTTAAGGACCACTTTTCATTTTCTTAATGATGTCATTTAAAGTTCTAAATTTTGATGGAATCTCATTTATCATTTTTTTCTTTTATATATCATGTTTTTTGTATTAAAATTTCCAGGAAAATTTCTAGTTGCCTACCCTAAATTCATGAACATTTTCCCTTATAATTTCTTCTTAAAGTTTTATAGTTTTAGTCTTTTTTTTTTCCTGGGATTGAGTCTGTTTATTAAATAAACAAGCAAATGGCAGCACAAATTAGCAATAATTTTGGAAGAAGTGGGGACAAGGTGTAAGGTCAAAGGTAATTGTTCATTTTATAGTCTTAAAGTAGCTAAAGAACTGGGCCTGAGGTCCACTGATCAGTATTATGTATTCCAAATGCAAGAGGGCAAGATTAAAATACTAAGGCGCGAACCTTATCCCCTTTAGAAGACTTAATCAAAACCTTAAAAATTATCCTACAAGTCAGCAAGATTTCTTAAGATTTGAAATATGATTTTTCTCAGGAAGTTTTCAACCCATTTAGGAGCAAAGCTGTAAAGTCAATAGGCTAAAGATACTCTTCTGAAAAAGAAAAAGCCTAGCCATTTCTGAAATGATTTAGTACTTTCCCCTATTTTCATGTTCCATGAGGTTTTGTTTCCTCTTGTTTTATACCTTTAAGTACTCTAATTTCTCTGGGGGGAAAGAATGTATTACAAGAAGGAGCAGGGTTTAAAAAGCAAGAGTCTTAGGCTTTTAGAAATCTTGTTTTATAGCAAGTCATCTCAAATTAAAACCTGCAAGATTTTTGTCAACCTTTTAAGAAATACTTATGTTTACTGGCCTGGAGCAGAAAATTAGGAAGGTTTGAGCAATCTTTGAAGCTGATTAAAATGGAATAAAAAAAGTCAGCCTTCTATTTTGCACTACTTACCACTCCTTGGTGCCCCCATAGGACTACTTTCTGAAGTTGATAATACCAGGATGGGAGTGCAGTGGAGCCCCTGTGACCCAATACTCCATTGCTTGAGCCCTATTTTGTGTTTTGAGGGCTTTTGAGAGGAATGGAGTTAGAGAAATAAAGAGATGAATAAATAGATAAATAAATAAATACAATAGCGAACAGATTCATCAGCACCACCAACACAACAGAGGGAAGAGAACAAGATTAAAATGGTAAAGGGATGGAAGAGAAGAGCTGGAAAGGGAAGACAACAAGGACAAGGTGGCAGGAGACAAGTCTTGGCCTTAAGAGCAAGTCCAGTTCAAAGGCGTGGATGTGGGCAATGGGAGCTCTCCAGAAGTTGAAGGTGCTGTACTCAAGGAGGATATCACCTTCAGCGTTCTTCTGTTCTGCTCCAGTTGCTTGCCCGGTCATTTTGCTAGCGCTGCTGCCCTTGATCTTGTAGGTAGGTGTATCGGACAGACCCAGGCCTTCCAGCTCAGACAGATCCAGTTCCGGAATGGGCATCCTCAAGAAAAGAAAGGAGCTGTACTGGCTGCTCACAGGGTCCCTCATAGCTTCCTGTTATCAGTGAATTACTAGCGTGTTCCAAAGACGAAGGGAGTACTGCGGGGTCTAGGGGTCTGCTCTGGTCTGGAGAAAAAGGAAGCTGCTGGGGCTGTGACGGCTTTGTCTCCACCCTCGCCTTCTTCCCAGCTAGTTTTAGTCTTTTATATTTAGGTTCATAGATCTTTTCCAGTTATTTTTATGTATGGAAATAAAGGATTGAGGTTAATTTTTTACATACCGATACCAGGTGTTCTAGTGCCATTTGTTGAAAACATTATCTTTTCCTCTGCTCTTGAGTTGAATTTATGTTCTATAAAATGTTAATGTTAAATAATCTTTCAAAACTCAGTGGACCATATATGTGCGGTTCTATTTCTAGATTCTCTGTTTTATTGGATTGATCTATCTGTCTTTCCTTGCATCAATATTGCATTGATTACTGTAGCTTTAGAGGAAGTCTTAAAATTAGGTAATAAAGGTATTCCAACACTGTTACTTTTTTTTTTTCTTTTTACTTTTCCAGGTCCTCTGTACTCTTACATAATTTTTAAATTTCGATATCCAATTCTTCATTTATAGTGAGTATACATAGACCTGAAATTTTATATATACCTTGTGTTTTCTAATCTTGCTAAATTCAAATACAACTTCTTGGGGGGTCCTAGAGATTTCTTCGTATTTTCTCTGTAGATGATCATTTCATCTACATACAACGATTTTACTTTTACCTTGCCAATCCTATGCTATTTGTTTCTTTTTATTGCCAGATTATTTTGATTTGGGCCTATGTTTCAAAGTTTAATGGACAGATGAAGAGTAGGCATATCTGCCCTTGTTCCCCACCTTAGGGAGCAAGCATTTATCTTTTCCATTCATGTAAGGCATTTTTGCTGGAAGTATGGAGCTCATGTCTTTTATCTTTTGAGAAGGTTCTGTTGTATTTCTAGTCTCCTGACAGCTTTTACCATGAACAGCTGTAGAATTTAGTCCAATACTTTTTCTGCAACTAGAGACAGGATCATATGGCTTTTTCCTTTCCTCTGTTAAAATGATGACTTATGGGGGTGAATCTTCCAATGGTGAACCAACACTGCCATCTCTATAATAAAATCACTTTCAACATACTGCTAGATCTGACTTCTAATAGTTTGTTAAACAAATTTTTATCTATGTTCATACTTTTTTCTTCTATAATCTTTATCCAGTTTTAGTATTAGCACAATGTTGATTTCCTAAAATGAGGGGAGAAGTATTCCTTCTTTTTCCTGCTTTAAATGTTTGATATAGTTTATCAGTTAAAATGTATATGAGCCTGTTGTTGTCATATAAGTAGGTTTCAAGCTAGGAATATACTTTCTTTAATAGGTGTTATTCAAATTTTTTTATTTCTTCTAGAGTCAGTTTCATTAATTTGTCTTCCAAGGTATTTCATAAAAGTTGTCAAATTTATTTCAAAAAAAAATTTGTAATATGCTTTCTATATCCTTTTAAATTCTGTAAAATCTGTGGTAAAGTCCTCTAAATCTTGATTTTGTAATTTTTAAAAA